GAGAGCTCTGACAGAAACGGCTCTTTTTCAAGGACAGCTCTTATCAGAACTAGGGCTTGCCCAAGATCATCCAGCAGCTGCAAGTGGAGGAGGGGGGGATCAAACCCGGTTCTCCCAGATTAGAGTCCGCGCACGTAACCACTATACCAGACTGACCAGAGCCAACCCTGCTTAGCTCCTGAGATCTAACAGATGGGGCTTACCTAGGCTATCCAGGTCAGGGCAATCCTCAGCACTGCGACTCAACCACAGCTTCGGAGAATCTTTTGGGCAAGCTATGAAGGCCCAGATGGAAAGGGGATATAGCCTGGTGATGTCCATTTGAGCTCAGCCACCTTTCCCCAGCCTGGAGACTGGACCAATGACCATCAGGTGATCTGATTAAGAAGAGAAGAGATTGGATTTCTACCCCGCCCTTCATTACCCAAAGGAGTCTCAGAGCGGCTTACAATCTCCTTTCCCCTCCCCACAACAGACACCCTGTGGGGTAGGTGGGGCTGAGAGAGCTCTTTTGAGAAGTGCCCGTGAGACAATGGCTCTGAGAGAACTTGTGACCAGTGTTCCCTCTAAGCTGAGTTAGTGTGAGCTAGCTCACCGTTTTTCAGCCTCCGGCTCACACATTTTTGTCTCCGCTCAGGAAGGAGGGCTCCAGAGCAAACTAATTTCTGCAGTAGCCAAATCACTTGCTCACAGCTTTTATGCCAGTAGCTCACGAAGTAGAATTTTTGCTCACAAGCCTCCACAGCTTAGAGGGAACATTGCTTGTGACTGACCCAAGGTCACCCAGATCAGAGTCTGCGATCATAACCACTGCACCAAACTGGCTCTCTAATTCATTAGGACAACTGCCACCCATCAGTGTGCTCAGAAACCTCTCTGCTGGGTATCTGATCTGCTAAAATTGATAAGTGTAGGATGTCCACTATTACAGGGGTGTCAAACATGCAGCCCAGGGGCTGGATCAGGCCCCCAGAGGACTTCTATCTGGCCCGCAGTGGAACTGGCTGTCTTCTGCTTCTTCTTCCAGTTCTGCTGCTGCTGCATCATCAAAAGTTTGCAGCACCTGAACAGCATACTCAAGATTGCAACAGCACAGACATTTTGATGGAAGATCTCATTTATGTCAGATCCGGCCCTCATAACAAATCAGTTTGACACCCCTGCACTATTATGTAACCTGTTTTCTCCTAACCAAATGGGACTCAGGGGAGTCCACCCATCCCCATGAAACCAAACACAGAGGTGCAGTCCAGGTCCCAGCCCTTAAGGAGACCTGCCCACCTCCTTTCTTTCTCTGAATTTCCTTCTAACCAAAGCTGCTTCCACCGCTTGCAACGTCATAGAACATCTATCAGTGGAAGGCATTTTGATCTGCCTATGGCCCCATGCCCCCAATCTTCAATAAGAACATTTGTGAACATTTGCACAAGGCCCATTCAAAGCGATACTTTCATCTCGTGTCATCTCCACCTAGAGGCAAACGTTGGAATTGCACTCTCTTCTCAACGGGAAAGGAAGGGACAAACAGCACATTTTGTAAAAACGCAAGTAGTATTTTAGAAAAGGCACTTGAGGCGGCGGGGAAGGAATTAAACATAAGAATAGCCCAGTGGTCCGTGTAGTCAGTTTGGCCTAGTGGTTAAGAGTACGGACTCTAATCTGGGAGAACCGGGTTTGATTCCCCACTCCTCCACACGCAGCTGCTGGATGACCTTGGGCAAGCCATAGTTCTGGCACAGCTGTCCTTGAAAAAGAGCTGTTTCTGTCAGAGCTCTCTCAGCCGCACCTACCTTATAGGGTATCTGCTGTGGGGAGGGGAAGGGAAAGGAGTTTGTAAGCGGGCGGGGTATAAATCCAATCTCTTCTTCTTCTTCATTGTACAGTGTGTGATTTTTTATTTTTCATAGGTCTATGTAACTACTCCCAAAAAGGGGGGGGGGGGTTAATTCCCTGCAGTTCCCCTTTGCCCTAGGCTCAAAAAGCCGCCTAACTCTTGAGAATAGCACTTTGTGGGGTGGGAGTGGTATGAAAGAGCTGCCCCATACATACAGCCCCATGGCTCTGCCTGCCTCCAAATGGCTTGGTGTAGTGGTTAAGAGCCAGCTTGGCGTAGTGGACTCTGATCTGGAGAACCGAGTTTGATTCCCCACTCCTCCGCATGCAGCCAGCTGGTGTGACCTTGGGTCAGTCACAAGTTCTCTCGGAGCTGTTCTCTCAAGAGCAGTCCTTGAAAGAGCTCTCTCAGCCCCACCTGCCTCGCAGTGTGTCTGTTGTGGGGAGAGGAAGGATGCTAAGCAGCTCTGAGACTCCTTTGGGCAGCGAGGGGCAGGGCATAAAAAAACAGGTTGCTTACCAGTAACTGGTGATCTTCGAGTGGTCATCTGTGCATTCACACCAATGGGTTTAGTGCGCCTGCGCTGACCCAACCGGTGCCGTAGCAAGCTATGTTTCAAAGGATTTTCGCGCGAGTCCCACTGAGCATGCGCAGGAACCCCAGCACGCATGCCCAGAGGGGACGGGCGCGGAGATCCCGCCAGTTCCTTCAAAGCACCGCCGCCAATCAACACCTATGTAGAAGAAGACAGCAGCGGGGCAGGAGGGCGGGTGGTGTGAATGCACAGATGACCACTCGAAGATCACCAGTTACTGGTAAGCAACCTGTTTATCTTCTTCGTGGTCTCTGTGCTTCACACCAATGGGAGACTAGTGAGCCATATCCTACCTGGAGGAGGGTGCTGGCAGGATGTTCATCGCTGGGCTGAAGACAAAACGTGACGGCCCAGGGATCTGCACTGCGTGATTGAAGGCAAGTTGGGGCAGTGATTTTATGGCTGGCACCACCTCCTGTGACAGCTGTGGCTTTGCCCACCAAGCTGTGTTATAATCCCAAAGGTGTCTGCAGGTTCAGAAAAGGTTGGGGACCCGGTCAAATCCAGTGTGACGGTAAAACAAAAGGACTGAACTCCCCTTGATTCTCTTGGGCCAGCGTTACTGTCCGATTTCCACTGCTACTGACTGCTATAGGCAAACCCTCATTTGCACAAACACAGAGGTGCAGTCCAGGTCCCAGCCCTTAAGGAGACCTGCCCACCTCCTTTCTTTCTCCGAATTTCCTTCTAACCAAAGCTGCTTCCACCGCTTGCAACGTCATAGAACATCTATCAGTGGAAGGCATTTTGATCTGCCTATGGCCCCATGCCCCCAATCTTCAATAAGAACATTTGTGAACATTTGCACAAGGCCCATTCAAAGCGATACTTTCTTCTTGTGTCATCTCCACCTAGAGGCAAACGTTGGAATTGCACTCTCTTCTCAATGGGAAAGCAAGGGACAAACAGCACATTTTGTAAAAACGCAAGTAGTATTTTAGAAAAGGCACTTGAGGCGGTGGGGAAGGAACTAAACATAAGAATAGCCCAGTGGTCCGTGTAGTCAGTTTGGTGTAGTGGTGTAGTGGACTGTAATCTGGGAGAACTGGGTTTGATGCCCTGCTCTTCCACTTGCAGCTGCTGGATGACCTTGGGCAAGCCATAGTTCTGTCAGAGCTGTCCTTAAAAAAGAGCAGTTTCTGTCAGAGCTCTCTCAGCCCCACCTACCTTATAGGGTATCTGTTGTGGGGAGGGGAAAGGAAAGGAGTTTGTAAGCCTCTCTGAGACTCCGAGTGAAGGGCGGGGTATAAATCCAATCTCTTCTTCTTCTTCATTGTACAGTATGTGATTTTTTATTTTTCATAGGTCTATGTAACTACTCCCAAATTGGGGGGGGGGGGGGGAATTCCCTGCAGCTCCCCTTTGCCCTAGGCTCAAAAAGCCGCCTAACTCTTGAGAATGGCACTTTGTGGGGTGGGAGTGGTATGAAAGATTTTCTTTTTTTTTTTTTGTAAACTGAAGTAAAGAAATAAAAAAAAGGATGATCCTAGAAACAAGAAATAAGGTAAAGGCCCGAAGGCAGTAATAGCTATCCGGTCAGGAGGAAAGGCAAAAAGGTCCTTTCAACGCGGCGGTAGAGAGAGAACTGGCGGGATCTCCGCGCCCGTCCCCTCTGGGCATGCGTGCTGGGGTTCCTGCGCATGCTCAGTGGGACTCGCGCGAAAATCCTTTGAAACATAGCTTGCTACGGCACCGGTTGGGTCAGCGCAGGCGCACTAAACCCATTGGTGTGAAGCACAGAGACCACGAAGAAGATCCAGCTCTTCTTCTTCTGAGGCATCTTTACACTATATTTCCTAGCTGTGATATCTTCACAGTCTACCGTTCCCTGTTACTGGGGGCAACCTCGCAGATTCCCAGTGAGAGGCAAGTATTATGGCTCTGCTAATGCTTGGGTTGCGGTGGCTCAGAGGTTAAGACGCTGAGCTGCAGACCGGAAGGTCTGTAGTTCGGCAGTTCAAGACCCGAGGGCCGCATGACGGAGTGCTGAGCTGCAGACCGGAAGGTCTGTAGTTCGGCAGTTCGAGACCCGAGTGCCGCATGACGGAGTGAGCTCCTGTCTCTGGCCCCAGCTCCTGCCAACCTAGCAGTTAGAAAGAAATTGCATGTAGACAAATAGGTACCGCTTCAGTGGGAAGGTAACAGCGCTCTGTGTGCCTTGGCGTTTAGTCATGCCGGCCAGATGACCACGGAAGCATCTTTGGACAGCGCTGGCTCTTCGGCTTGTAAACGGAGATGAGCACCACCCCCTAGAGTCGGATTCGACTGGCTTTCGAGCAAGGGAAACCTTTACTGTTACTTAATGTCTTGCTGAACTGGGTGTGTGTGGTGGCTATAGGCAGGAAGGGAACTGAAGCGAAGTCACCCGTGGGGTAGTAAAAGACCCACAAGCACAGCCGGGATTCGTGGCTTTTTCAAGGAGCCACTTGGGCACAGTGTTACAGCTGGTTTTAATACCACCCACTAGGGAACTTCCCGAATGCACGGGCTTGGTTTACTTAAAATTAAGTTTATTTTTAAATGCCACAGACAAATGTTTAGACTACACCGGACAAGTTATGATGATGAATTCTAAGGTCTGAGAGCTGTCTGGGCCTTCTCCAAAATTTCTTCTCTGATTTTTGGATAACCTGGGCACAACTTCAGCACCTATTACAAGGGGAAAAAACAATGATGATGAGATGTCAAGGCACCGCAAACCACAGGAATAATTTTCAAACTGTGCCATAGTGGCGTTGGAAAGTGCCGTTCAGTCACAGTCGACTTATGGTGACCCTGTAGGGTTTTAGGGCAAGAGGCGTTCAGAGGAGGTTTGCCATTGCCTGCCTCTGCATAGCAACCCTGGTATTCCTTGGTGGTTTCCCATCCACATGCTAACCGGTGCAAACCCTACTCAGCTTCCGAGATCTGGTAAGATGGGCTAGCTTGAGCCAACCAGAAGCCTGGGATTCTTCAGAACTGTCTAAGGGGGATACAGGGTTGCCAACCTCCAGGTGGTGTAGAAACAACAGAGAGTTTCGTTTTTGACTACCTGGAGGTTGGCAATCCTAATTCTTGGGCACAGTTTTTGTGGGGCGTGCCATACAGAATGGATGTGTGCCCCAAAACGATAGGGGCTTACTGACAGTTCAAGAGAAATACCGGCACCCTTCCCACCTTAGAGCAGGGAGAAAGGAGAGCCACAAAGGCTTCTGGATATTCCCGACTTTTTCCCCTGAGGTAGAAATAGGGGTAGAGCAGAGGTTCAGGAACCCTCCTGTTGCTTCAGAGCAAGCAGTGCTGGGATCGCTTCTGTCTGCCTCCCAGTCCCACCAGAAGGGGGGACACCTGGGTCAAATACAGATTGGCCTGCCTGTGGAGTTTCGTTTTTGACTACCTGGAGGTTGGCAATCCTAATTCTTGGGCACAGTTTTTGTGGGGCGTGCCATACAGAATGGATGTGTGCCCCAAAACGATAGGGGCTTACTGACAGTTCAAGAGAAATACTGGCACCTTTCCCACCTTAGAGCAGGGAGAAAGGAGAGCCACAAAGGCTTCTGGATATTCCCGACTTTTTCCCCTGAGGTAGAAATAGGGGGTAGAGCAGAGGTTCAGGAACCCTCCTGTTGCTTCAGAGCAAGCAGTGCTGGGATCGCTTCTGTCTGCCTCCCAGTCCCACCAGAAGGGGGGACACCTGGGTCAAATACAGATTGGCCTGCCTGTGGAGTGGGGATGCCAACCTCCAGGTGGGACCTGGGGATCCCCCGGAATT